AAACTTTCAAAATTAAATTGTAAGCAACTTTTAGTTGGGCTTTTTCTGTATATAACTACCTAATGTAAACTCTCTCTCTCTCTTTCTCTCTCTCTCTCTGTGTGTGTGTGTGTGTGTGTGTGTACAATCAATTCTAATACATTTATATAACTACCATGTTTTTAACCTATTGTATTTTATGCAAATGAATCCCATATTTCATTATATTGATCCATGCAAAGTTTTACACCCATAGGCAATCTATTCATAAGTATAATCAAGTCTCCAACCAAGAAGTTTCCAACCTTGGCAACTTTAATTCTGGGAGTTGAAGTCCACAAGTCTTAAAGTTGCCAAGGTTGGAGACCCCTACTCCAACCCACTGAGTAATTTCATTCTGTCAGTGACTAAAAAAGGTCTTCCTTCTGCACCCCTGCTAAAATAGAAATAACCACCAGATAAGCATCTTAGTGAGGCAGAACTCCTCCTGGATCATTTGCTGTAGATTTTAGCTTAGAAGATATTATTTCTCATGAGGATGTTAAATCAGGACAACTTTAATTACATGAGAATCTTTTTATAAGTTTGCATATAAGTGGTTATTGGCCACTGGTGATATCTAAGTAAAAACGAAAAAGTTGTTGCAAAGCCAGAGTGCAACTTCTTAGAAGGGAAAATATCTATCTCTGCTCTCAAGATCTTGTCCCACTGAGCATGATCACCACAAAAGACAAGAAGACAAGAAAAATTCTTTATTGGCCAAATGTGCTTGGACACACAAGGAATTTGTCTCCAATGGATAAACTCCCAGTGTACATACAAACAACTAAGTAATGTAATCATAAGATACCAATATAGGAGAAGGTAATAGGAAGGATGAGAAGGATAATAGGCAACAACAATTCAGTACAATTGCACAGATTTATTGGATCAAAGCTTGAATACAGTTTTCTCTTTAATGCATATCTCAGTTTGAACACAACTAATTAGAAACACATATATAAGGAGACAAGGAGATTGACCCTGGATTAACCAAAGATTATTAAGGAAACACCAGGTGCAGAAAAAACATGTGTTAAGTTTAGAAGAGTTGAGAGAGTCTTCCCAAGAGACTTAGACTCACTTCTTTGCCACCTCCCAGTGGTGTAAGAGGATGGGAAGAGAAGAAACACATGGACAGACCTGCATAATTCTGTTTGTTGACCTCTTTCAATAAAAGATAGTTCTAATCATTCCGTGGAATCCGCTTCCTGATCTGATCTACCTTGTAGAGATGAAAAAAAGATATAAATGCAGGTACCCCTCAACTTACAACCATTTGTTTAATGACTGTTCAAAGTTATAACGCCACTGAAAAAAGTGACTTAGGACTGTTTATTCACCCTTACGACCATTGCAGCCTCCCCAAGGTCACATGATCAGAATTCAGATGTTTGGCAAATGGTTCATATTTATGACAGTTGCAATGTCTCAGAGTCATGTGATCACCCTTTATGACAAGCAGTTAATCAGGAAGCCAGATTCACTTAATAAGTGGTGTGTTACCAGTTTAACAACAATGATTCACTTAATAACTGGGGCAAGAAAGTTCATAAAATGGGGCAAATTCACTTAACAACTGTCTCACTTAGCAATTGACATTTTGGGCTCAATTGTGTTCATAAGTCAAGGACTACTCATACATCCATGCCAAATTTCCATCTAAACCTGTCCAATATTTGGCAGGTTTGTGCCTGGTTGTGCAGTACTCCTTTATAAAACAGTATATATGTGTGCAATTTTTTGACAATGAGGACCACCCTCAACATTAGGAGAAAGACAAGAGCATCAATGGATGCAATGAAGATGCAAAACAGCAAAACTATTTCAGATATAGATGAGATCTTGGAGGCATATGAGAAGGTTTGCTTTTAATTGGTTTGATCCTATTTTTATGCTTGCACTGCCTCCAAATGGTAGGAAGCCGTACCTTAATTCTTGGCACAGCATCAGCAGCATTCAGCAACGTGATTGAAGGGTGTCACCAGGGTCCCAAAAGAAACCTCATAAAAATAGTGCGACTGTGTGGTTAAAGTGTCAGAAAAGCCCCTTGAAATGAATGTTTCAGTGCAAATTGATATTCAGCCACGAATCTTTGAATGTGATCCAACCCACTGGATGATTATGAAACTGAAATAAAATTGGTGGCAGCTCACTCAGCAAGAAACGACAAGGACAGGCTGCCAGCGATGACAAAGCATGGATAAAGTTAATTTATTGTAGCAAAGTAAAATGAAGCTATTAGGAAAGAATTCAAGGGACTGCTAGACTTTCATATGCGAGACCTATTTATGGTGAAATTCAGGATCACATTTTTGTGTCCTTTTCATCATTCACACTATATACAGTTACAGGCTAAAAACCAGTCTCTTTGCCATAGGAAAGATAGTTTCTACCTGCCTCTTATTTTGGTAGTGAACTGATCTGGTGGTATCAGACTATTTACTCATGGTATTGTTCCTTCAGTTGGATAAATTTCAAAACAAATAATATAAGTGCAATTTGAAAAAATGTACTATCTAAGAGGCTGATGGTAGAAATGAGTAGCCAAAATGGGCAAGGATGAAGAAACCAGATGGGCAACCAACAATGTCTCTTCCCTAATCACTTCCCTAATCACTTAAGAATGTAGATTCTTAAGCCACATTAACTGAAGTGGATCCTATCCAGCTGGAGCAGATAATTTTTAGGTGCCTTCCTAGTAATTAACCTGATGATTTTTAAAATGTACAGCATTGCACATATTTTCAACTCTTCTCATTTAATCTGATGGAAAATAAATTGGGTTTATTTATTTTTTCATTGGAGAAGAAATTTTCCATGAAATTCTGATGAAACGGTATAAGAATCTTCCCCTTAATTTTCTTATAGGTTGAATGTGGTGTGTCTCATATTTTCTTCTGTTGCACAATCGGCTTTCCAGCATTTTTGGAACCTCCCTGGCTTTCATGCTGGATTAAATCCAAAGAGAAGATAATCATGAGGAATTTTTTTCAGGAGTATTTTCAGATCAGGAGTTGGAGACAGTCAAGGAGACTGCAGAATTGCTAAGAAATGCTCTAAAACAACCAACAAAAATTCAACTGAAGTTTTAATGCATTCCTATTTTTTTTAAAAAAAGCCGTTTCACATGAGAAGATTTCAGAGACAGAATTTGAATGCCCGATTTGAGCAAACATCTCCTAGTTTAGGGCTCAGAAGTCTCTATTATGATTCTGATATTGCTTCTCTGTTTAGCTGTCTCACACTTATATTGTATTTTTCTCTGACCTTTTCAGGAAATCTTTTAACTACCTTGTATTGATGTATTAAGTCCATTGACCTCTGTTGACCAAACCAGTCTGACAACAGTTGACCTTAATTCAGTTGCTGCTAGTGAGCAAATTCTCCAGTTCTTCAGAAATAATGAATTGCATAGGAATAATACAAAAGAAGGAACAAGATCAGGAGTGACATACTGTCATCTTGTATTAGATACCGTGATGTTCCAAGTAATATCCAGTCATCTTCAAGGACGATGATGCTGTGATGTGTGATGCTGCATTGGACGAACCATTATTTAGATTTAAAACATGTGGAAGGCCTCATATTTTTAGTTTTTATTGGGTAGGATACAGGGTAATACCTGAAAGCATCAGAAGAAGGGTGTATAAGTTTTTAGGAGCCAAAATAGAACCTGGACAAAATTATACTTGATTTAATCTCATTTACTTGTAAACTATGTAAACTTGTAAAATATGCAGGTCAAGAAGTAACAGTGAGAACTGGACACGGAACCACTGATTGGTTCAAAATTGGGAAAGGAGTCCAGCAAGACTGTATACTGTCACCCTGCCTATTTAACTTATATGCAGAACACGTCATGAGAAAGGCGGAGCTAGATGAATCAGAAGTTGGAATTAAGATTGCCGGGAGAAATATCAACAACCTCAGATGTTGATGGCAGAAAGTGAAGAGGAACTAAAGAGCCTCTTGATGTGGGTGAAGAAGGAGAGTGCAAAAGTTCACTTGAAACTCAACATTAAGAAAATAAGATATTGACATCCAGCCCTCTCAATTCCTGGCAAATAGATGGGGAAGAAATGGGAAATGGAGGTAGTGACAGATTTTATTTTCCTGGGCTCCAAGATCATCGCAGATGGGGACTGCAGCCAAGAAATTAAAAGATACTTGCTCCTGAGGAAGAAAGCTATGGCAAATCGAGACAGCATACTAAAAAGCAGAGACATCACTCTGCCAACAAAAGTATGTATAGTCACAGTTATGTTTTTTTCCAGTTGCAATGTCTGGCTGTGAAAGTTGGACCATAAGAAAGGCTGAGTGCCAAAGAATTGAGGCCTTTGAACTATGGTGCTGGAGAAGTCCCTTGGACTGCAAGGTGATCAGACTGGCCAGTCCTAGAAGAGATCAACCCTGACTGCTTTTTAGAAGGCCAGATCCTGAAGATGAAACTCAGACTTTGGCCACCTAATGAGAAGGAAGGACTCACTGGAGAAGAGACTAATACTGGGAAAGATTGAGGGCAATAGAAGAAAGGGACGACAGAACATGAGGTAGCTGGATGGAGTCACTGAAGCAGTCGGTGTGAGCTTAAATGGACCCCAGAAGATGGTAGAGGACAGGAAGGCCTGGAGGAATATTGTCCATGGGGTCGTGATGGGTCAGACACAACTTCGCAACTAATAACAACAACAACTTGTAAACTTAACTAAAATGGTTAAATAAAGTTTATACGACTCCTTGTCATTTATTTAGTAATTTCTATCCACAATCACATTGAAAATAACCATCTACCATCACGTTTCTGAGAGGCCCTGAGAGGCCCTGCAGCCTTGAAATCTCCTGATGTGGAACATGAGATGTGTCCCTTCTGTTTTCCATCAATCCACTAGGATAGGTGAATCTGAAGACTTTCAACCATTTGATGTTATAGAACAAAACAAATCACATGTGAGATAATCGTGGCCCTTTGCTTTTTTCAGCACCCCTATCCAACAGAGGATGAGAAGCGGCAAATAGCAGCACAGACAAATCTCACACTGTTGCAAGTCAACAACTGGTAAGTAAATATCTTTTTTTTCCCCCCTCAAGCATAATAATCATATGGAAATGTTTGTTTCCTGCTCAAAGAGAGAACCGCTTTCTTGATTCGGCTGATCACTTATATAGTACCAAAAAGTATGGATCAGTATCACAAGTGCACTTGCTTAGTTAAATCTGTGTAGATCTATAAATCACGCCTTTCATTAAAGAACTAAAGAATACTTCATCCTAGATCCCATCTGCTGATAGGAACAGGCTGTTGATGATTATAAGGGATGTGCCTCTACTATTTTCTTTCTTTGAAATGGACTTGGTTTAGACTTTTTCATTCAAAAAAATGTCCCTCTGACAAATGGCCCACTAGTCTTCTTCCAATGCCTTGAAAATGATGTCATATCCGGTTGCTTTAAAACATTCCAGGTAACCCTTTTTTCTTTCAGAGTTTTCATTCCCTCAGAAAAGACCCGTTTCAAAGGCCATGAATAATGGGACTAAAGCAATTGGGTGGTATCAGAAGCCAAACTGGATGGGGACACCCATTTCCTTACTGATATTTCTTTTGTTTTTCTCTATTTGTTATCCCCTTCTCAGGCTCCTGGAAAAGAATTTGAGCCCTGTAGAGATCTCAACAATTATTTCAATGTAATTTATTTATTTAGCTTTAAATTAGTCCGGAGGCCTCGTGCAATATCTTTGAAGATGTCCTATGTATTACAGCTATTTAAAAACTTCAGTCTACATTCGGGCTTTTGATCGAAGTGAATATTTGTAGCTCAGGGTTGAATGGTGGGGTCCTTAGAGCCCTCCAAGCTTGGTGGTTTTGCAGATGTTCCATTTCCCAGTGAGGTAAAATCACTAGCAAAATGATGGTGTTACCTAGTTGGGTAATGAAACATCTGCAAGAAAACCATCAAGCTGAGAGAGCATCAAGGGCTGGCTTTTGTTATAGTTTTAAAAATGTGAAGTAAAAATTCAATATCCCCAGTTAGGTCAATAAAATACCACAACTCTCTATAGATAAATAGGATCCGTGTTTATGATCAGAACTCAAAGACATGATAAATTCCAGATCCCACCACACCGTGGAAAGTCTATTCAGGGCAAAATGTATACATGACCACACAGACTATGAGATTCCAGCCCCTTTGCATGGTTTGACAATCACAAGTAGCCATACATTTCTGTCTGAATGAAAATTAATTTGAAGGCCAGGCCTGAGTATTATAGGAACTGGTGCTGAATATTTTAATCCTCTGAAAGACCCTTGTATGAATCTGATTTTTAAATGACGATTTTCCAATCTTTGCATTAATAGTGGGGTTTACTTAAGGTTGAACATGCAGAGGCAGTTTCTTTTTTTTTTACATGATTGTAAATGTTTTCTTTGTATTGGCTGATATTTGTGGCATCTGTTTGCTCACGCTGATATTTGTGGAACATTTGCAAGACAGATTTGTTTTCTTCTGAGGAAGAAAAATCAGCTCTTTGTGGAAGGCAAATTCCTTACATTCCAAATCTACATTAATTCAATTGCACCCTCTGCTGGTTACTTATAATCAGCAAAGAGCAGCACTGAATATAGGTGTTTTTGTAACTTATAGTATATTTATATCCTGCCTTTTCTTCAAGAGCTCTAGACAATAATCAAAACGTAAAAGTCCGCGCATAGTTGGAGAAAATAATCTCATGTCAGAAAAACTCAGGAGGCCATCAAAGTAGATAGTATTGAGCTAGGTGGACAAATACCCTTATAGGTAATCCTCATTTAGCAACTGCCTTGTTTAGTGACTGTTTGCAATGACAGTCATAATTTACAACCAATCCTTGCATTTACGATGTAATGACATAGATGTAAGTCTGCAAAGCAAAGGAAAACTGTCAGATCATAAGCACAGTTGCCATTTCAACACAGGACTTCCCTGCCTGAGCAGTGGGTTGGATTACATTCCCTTTCAACTCTGTTATTCTATTCTAAACTTCTTTGATTTCAGAAATGACTTCACTTAATGACCAGATTGCCAGTCCCACTAGTGCTTGCTAAATGAGGACAACCTGCATAAACAGGAATAGGAATAATTTGATTTGGTATAAATGCTGCTATAAAAGCAGGAACAACGGGAGGGACCTTCTGCAGGGTACAAAATCTGACATTCTCCATGTGCTGTTGGGAAGAAGAATCAGATGAAATTATCTTGAAATTTCATTTTTAGTTCACTTTAATATGAGTCTTTTTCTGTTTCTAACTCTTAAATATAAGTTTGCCAGACTGTCTTTCTTAAACAATAGCACTGATGCATTGACTAGGTCAAGAGAATAGAGAAACAGAGAAGCCACTCAGAGTTGCCTCCAATTATGAGATGGGCAGAATATAAAATTAATAAACAAACAAATAAATGCAACAATTAAGATTTTATTTTGATATGCTACCTTCTTTCTGGGAAGGTTTATTAATGCCCGGCGACGTATCCTGCAACCTATGCTTGATGCAAGCAATCCAGATCCAGCCCCCAAAGCCAAGAAAATCAAATCCCAGCACCGGCCAACCCAGAGATTCTGGCCCAACTCCATCGCAGCTGGGGTTCTACAGCAACAAGGAGGCAATCCCGGGACTAACCCTGATGGTAAGAATCACTGAATCGATGCAACCTTTGACTCTCTTTGTATTAAGGTCCATTCTCAGTCCATTAGATGTGTTGAGGCTGTGCCAGTTGGCAATTCTTGGAGTCACAACAACCTATCTAGAAAGTGACAGATTGGTGAACTCTGGAATAACCCTAACTTTGAAGTAGGCCACAACCTAGACCAGAATATCATTGAAATAATGAGACCCAGTACCACTCAGTAGAGGAAAAAACATAGGTGAGCCTACAGGGTTTCCTGCCGGAGCAGACTAGATCAGGGGTTGCCAACCTTTTGGACCTCAGGGACCACCAAACTCATAATTTTAAATCCCAGGGACCCCTAACCAGTTCTGTGGGCGTGGCCTAATTTGTGGGTGTGGCTTGGTGGTCATGTGACTGGCTGGGAATCACTTGTATGTAACTATTATAAATATTTATATAAATATTGAATTTTTTATAAAAAAAGAGCAACTTTTACCCAAAATCAGGCAAAGCAGGCAAGCAGATTGAGTTGCTCACAAAATCACAGATTCATTCAGAGATCTATCTATCTGCCATCGGCTAGCTCAGTCTGTCACATAAAATTTGCTAGCAAGCAAACTCACAATATTAAGTCACAACACACCATGTATGTAAATATTGTATTTTTTATTAAAAAAAGAGCAACTTTTACCCAAAAGCAGGCAAAGCAGGCAGGCAGATTGAGTTGCTCATAGAATCATTCATTGATCTATCTGCCATCGGCTACCTGAGTCTGTCGCATAAAATTTGCTTGCCCTGAGTCTGCACTGAATAATAGAACCTTCAATCCTAAGGGAGGTTCAGTTGTGCTTAAAAGCAGAGCCGAAGATCTAAAGACTAGCTAGAAAGCAAGAAACCCAACCATTTCCTGCTTTCTAGCTAATCTAAATCTCCCAGCACAACAGAACAGCTGATGGTTGGGAAAAGGAAAAATAGCAATTTAGCAAGCAAGTTTGCCGGGTAAGGAGTGAGTGGGTGGGGAGGGTTCCTGCGGGCCATGTGGGCGGCGCAGCCTTGTGTTCCTGCGCAGCTTGGATTAATTGCTTTCGGGGGGTGCTCTGGGGAGGAGAATTCTCTGCGGCCCACCAAAATTTTCTTGCGGCCCACCGGTTGGCAACTGCTGGACTAGTTGAACTCCAAGGTCCCTTCCAACTCTTCTATTCTATTCTGTTCTATTCTATTCTATTGTCTGCTATCTTGTGGCTAACTATTGATGGACAATTTATGCCCCTGGATTCACTCTTCTTTACACTGTACTTGGATGGGATCCTTTCAAACAGATAATTGCCTTTAAATAGAGAGTTGTTCTTTGTAAAGCATCCAGTTCTCCATGTAATATCCTGGAGAAATGATTTGTCTTACACACATCTTAAATTTCTCGGTGTGCTTCTCTCAGCCCTAAAGTACCACTGGATGACCATTTTGTTAATCTTCTCAATAAGGACCCTCTGATCAGCTACTAAGAATATTATCACAGGATATGAAATAACCAAATAGCACTTGAGCTTCTGGTTACAGAACATAACCACATTTAGATCTGGATGGATGAGTGGGAATATCCTCTGGTCATATCCCCCTTTGCAGAAAAGAGCTTGGGGGTTTTCCCCCTCTAATGCTATGTACACAGCTTCTTAGCTACAGTACCTGATAGTAGTCAATCAAGTGTCTCCCTCATCGGGTGGAAGATGACTCTTTAGAGGCAATAGATATTGCTTCACTCTGTGTATTATTTCTTTTACTGCACTTTAAAAATAACATAAATCAACCCCACTGCATTTGGGACCTCAGTGGGTTCTTGGATGCCTGGCCCCAAAGTCATAGTCAACAGCAACATTCCACCACCTATCCTATCAACTCTTTGCCTTTCCTTCTAGGCTCCATCAATATGGACAACCTCCAAACCCTCTCCTCCGATAATGCCACCATTGCTATGCAGCAGGCCATGATGGCGGGTCACGATGACTCATTAGATGGGACAGAAGATGAGGAGGAAGATGAAATAGAAGAGGAGGAAGAGGAAGAGGAGGAGGAGGAAGAAGAACTGGAAGAGGATCCTGAGGAGCTCCAGACAACTAACGTCAGCGACCTTGGCCTGGAGCACAGTGACTCGCTCGAATAGAGGATTATAACCAATGGTGGAACAGTCACCGACTGGAAAACTGTTGAACCTGCTTGTGAAACTCATTGGCCTGAATTGTAGAGTGCGCCTGAACATTTGATGAGCACATCCCTTTAACAATAGGATTCAACAACAGAACCCTTTCTTGAATGTCCTACTTGGCCTGCATTAAGCTGCAGGAATGGACGTGGAAGTACACTGAACACCTGTCAAGTGTGCAAGCTGATTATTTAAGTGAAGGACACACGTTTACAAGGCACATATTGTGACTAGTTTCTTCCCCACTCTCTCCCACCTTTGTTTTTGATAACCACAATAACAAAAGTGTTTTTAGAGTAAGCTGTTTTCTGTATGACTGAATGTTTTATGGAAGTTCTAATTCAATGCCTTTTTTGTGACATGCAAGTTCAGAGGCATGGCTGTTTTCATTTTCACTGCTTTTATGAGAGATTTATAGATGAAAAAGAAGAAGAAGAAGAAGAAGAAGAAGAAGAAGAAGAAGAAGAAGAA